CAAACTGTTGACAGTTACAATTTCGAGAAAGTAGAGAATTTCGTTTACTTGGGAACCAGCATTAACACCGATAATAATGTCAGCATGGAAATCCAACGCAGAATCGCTCTTGCCAACAAGTGCTGCTTTGGACTGAGTAGGCAATTCAGGAGTAAAGTCCTCTCTCGACGTACGAAAACCACACTGTAAGTCACTCATCACGTTCTTGCTGGTATGGCGAATTAAAATACAGCGGCTCAACTGGCTTGACCATGTCGTTCGAATGGACACCGACGCCACACATCTGAAAGTATTCTGGCTTCACTTGGCATTTCCAATTGGCGTCAGTTGGCCAAAATCGGTTTGGCGGTTACAGCGCCAAATAAGAAGAAGAAGAAGAGAATCTATAACCTTATCAATCACACAGTGTTATAATCCCGACGAAATCCTTGACGGTGGTACCAGGTACTGAACGGTACATGACGGTAGGAAGTTTAGTTTGGGTTAAAGTCTCACACAGACGGGGTTAGGCTTTCGATGCTTCCTCCTCGTAAAATAAACATGCTCAGTAAAAAGTTAACAATTTAAATCGACGAATAGTTTTATATCAACTTTTGTGAACTTCTGTTTATTTGTTTTTTGTACAGCAAATGGTTACAATAATTTTAAGCTATAATAAAAAATTTTTTAGTAAGTAATTATTGGTTTTGATGTTTTTTTTTTGTATGGGCCCCCCGCTAAATTTCGTTCTGGCTACGCCCATGTATATAGGGTATACTACACTTCTAAAATGAAGGGAAGTGTTTTTTTTTATTGGAAAACGCAAAAATATGAACTACCAAGCCGGGGTTAAACTGGCCGGAAGTCTGTCCCGACTCGAAACCTCTATTTGCCACTTTTATCTCTCCAACCGTTCTGTACTGTGCAAGAACGAATTTTTCACAAGTTTTTTTGGTAACATGTACCTACCTAGATATGTCTGCGGACTTTTCTTTTTTCAAAGTAACGTTTGCTTTGCATAGCAGTCTCCGAATGAGTTTTCCTTCATTCAGGTATATCTACTGAATTCAAAAAATTCGCCTAAAAAAGATAGTTTTAACACACTGTAAATTGAATCTATTGTTGGTCTTCGCCATAATCCATTAATGAATTTTCACAATGCTAAATAAATAGACCCCATCCAATAGAGGAAAAATGGAAACGAAACTTTCGCGTACCAATATTAGATTTTTACAAAAAAATCTCAGCTTAGCGGGTGTAGAATTTCTTTGTTGTAAACTATAGGAGATGGATGGGACAAATTCACTGTGGTATCGACGTTTGTTGCATTCAAGATATGCTTATGCACCCATTCCAATGTATCGTAGTACGTTTTTGTATGGCAAGAGCGAGATGCTTGGGAATGAGACAGCAAATTAATAAATAATTATNATCTCAGCTTAGCGGGTGTAGAATTTCTTTGTTGTAAACTATAGGAGATGGATGGGACAAATTCACTGTGGTATCAACGTTTGTTGCATTCAAGATATGCTTATGCACCCATTCCAATGTATCGTAGTACGTTTTTGTATGGCAAGAGCGAGATGCTTGGGAATGAGACAGCAAATTAATAAATAATTATGTGTTAAGAAGAAAATGGCGCCTGTTAGAGCGAGAGCACAGTATGTGCACAGTATAGCGGCAACGCCTCCTAAATTTGTTGGCTGAACTTGTTTTCTCTGCTAAGCGCATTGTTGCAGAAAATTTGAGCCGATACATTCAGGCAACGATACCCATACCTGTTTGCCTGCTTGCTGGCTGGCTGACTGGTTGGCTGCTGCCATTGCTACGCATGTAGTGTGTCACTATGTTGGTGCTCCATTGAACATACGTTTCCATTCTGTAGTGTTGCTCACAATGATACTGGCATCTTGCCATTGTTGTAGTTGTTATTAGCTTTGCATGCCGCCGCCACTCCACGTCTCAATCACCAATACGGCATCGTCTTCGTGGTCGTTGCTGTTGTCGGCTTGGTAGTTAGCTCAGTTACAGGCCATTATTTGATTTTGTTTGTTGACGGGCGCGACAACGACTATTTGAGTGCTCGATCCCAGCTCCGCCGACACGAAAACCCAAACGAGTTTGGTGAAAACGGGTCCGATAATTTACAAGCAGGCGTCGCCGCAGCTGCAACTGCTACAACTATAACAACAACACCGACAGCTGCTGCATTGGCAGCATCGGTTGCGATACAACGGTAGCAGTGGCACCACCAGTGACAGTGGCTATCACAATCGCAGAAGCGGTGGCAGTTAATTGGCATTCGCCTACTTGCAAAGCTTATCTACGCGTAGACGCGCAATAACCCCGTCGCAAAAGTGGCACCGATCATCGGCAGTGTTGTGTAGTGTATAAACCGCGGCCTCATCAATGTCCTATCCGGTTCCGGAATCATTTGCTAGTCATATACGACATATGGGAAAGGCTTGAACGGTGGCCAATAGTGCCTGGTAGCCTAACGGTAATGTGTTATTAGGTGTGAAACCACAGTAAATAAATGTGTTAAAAATTTTAAAATAGAAGAAACAAAAATGTATTGTTCGCATGGAAATAACGCGCGATATTAGAAATCAGTGCTGTGATTTAATTTAAATAAAAGCTAATAATACACACACATACATATACATACATACATATTTGATTAATTCAAACCGAAAAGTATACAAGAAAATGGTGTGTGATCTCTGCGTAAAATCGTTGCAATCAGTTGAGTTGATTAATCGTTGTGCTAAGTGAGATTACCTCCTATAGATAAATTTTAGTGTCATACCTATGTACATATTTTTAAAATAACTAAGGTACGTTTGCTGTTTGAAGTCGTGACGCACAGTAAATTTTAGCTTTTGTTGTTGTTGTGTTTGTCTCTTTTTCGACCGCCGCTAAAAATTACACAAAATTCGTGGCCTGGAATAGTATGCGAATTAGTTCACAGTGGATTCAACGAATAAAATGGCCGTTGGACCGACGGAGGGCAAGCAACCTCCCACAGAAACATTTTCGCCTACACATCAGATTATAGCACCCAGTCCCATATTGGCAGTGCCGACGCTCGCCTTCTCCGCCGCACAAGTGGAAATTGTCTGCAAAACGCTGGAGGATTCCGGGGACATAGAGCGTTTAGCGCGCTTCCTCTGGAGTCTACCGGTGGCCTTGCCGAATATGCACGAGATATTAAATTGTGAAGCAGTACTCAGAGCGCGAGCGGTTGTCGCCTATCATGTCGGAAATTTCAGGTATGGAACTACATGAGAATTGAAGTCGGTTTTGTTTTTTGCTAAAAAATTAGGTACTTGTTTATTTAAAATGCAAATTAATACATTGTTTAGTGATGATTTCATTTTTGTTTTCTCTACAAAACCTCTGTGAACGCTAAGCATACCTAAACCGAAATTCAAGTACAAACTAAGAGAAAATATTAAAAGATAATAATTATTTTATCTCTTTTTTAAGTAAATGACTGTTTATCAGATGTGAAGACGCCAAAAGTTTTAATTTATTGCATACATTTTGTGAATCGGAAATTGATTATGAATTCATAGAAAGAAACTTACAATGAGGGGCCCTGACAGTCGGAGGAGAAAGAAAAGTAATGTCATTTATTCCTTTGGTCTTTGCTCTTTCAAGATTGAAAGATGAGTGGTGCGAGGCCCCCTTCAATTTTGTACCACCTCGAAGTAACAGATACTTTTCGGAATCCAACCAAAAGGAAAAAATCGTGTTTTATGTACATAAATATCATCGATGTGATTTTTCGAAACATCGATAGTCTTACCAAGATTTACAACCCAATATGCCTTCGGCCCAAGGTTCCTATTCCCACTGCTGTCTGTAAATTCGGAAATATATGTAGTGAATGCCAATCACAGCAGTCCTGTTACAATTTGGTGCAATGAAGTGAGAGACAATTTTGTCCAGTGAAAGCCAATCAAAGCAGACTTTTGCACCGAATAATGCTTTGACGGTGATAGAAAAACCTCATAAAAATACCGCGCAAAAAGTATGTGCAAAGAAAATCTTTGTTTGGGAAAATTTTTAACGGCAGCCAGTAAAATATACATATGTATATTAATTTCAATATGAAAATTGTAAACCAAACAAAAATCCCCATCAAATCGCCACATCCCCAAACGAAAAAAACGATCCCCCTTATAAACATACTACGCAAAAAGTACGAACAAAGAAAATATATGTACTTTAATTTCAATATGAAAATTGTAAACCAAACAAAAATCCCCATCAAATCCCCGCATCCCCAAACGAAGAAATTCATCCCCAAATGGTTTCATAAAACCCCAAAATGGGGCAAAATCCCCACATCTGTCACCACTGGGCAAAGCTCATCTTTTCATTCTGAGCAATTTGGTATGTATACGTCTATATCTATCTCGATTCGTTCGAACCTCTACTACTGTTAAGTGGCTCGTGTCTCTAATCCTTGTCTGATCTACATATGTCAAAGAACGTAAATACGTTCTTTGTCTATGTCTAATTCTTACTAAATACACAGTGTTTTTTCGCAGATCTGACTGCGAAATTCACAAAAAAGTGCATATTTAAAGCCGGATTTATTATAAAACTGGTATTCGGAAATTCGAAACTATTGTTTTAAAATAAAACTTAGACCCTTGACTGCAAGTTCAAGTAAATTTCTTTGCATCGAGTCATCCATTTGGATGCAATAACTCGAAATCATTGGGTAAATAACTAAATTGTACCCTTTATTCACTTAGTTTTTTTTTGTTATTTATGTGAAACAATAGTTGTATTTTTTTACCCATTTTCCAGTAAGATCCAGTAAAAATTGTTACGAAATTTCATGTTTTGGCGTTTTCGTACGCAAAAAGTTACAAAGTAGTGGAAATTGAGAGAGAGAAAATGACAGCTGCAGTTGCAAGTTTTTAATGGATAAATTTTTACTTGTAACGATTTCCCAGTACGAAAAACAGCTGATCGCATGTTGCTGGATGCAATTTAAACTAATGAGGAAACTGTTTATAGGGTTTTTATAGTTGAAATTGACAAAATAAATCTATTTAAGTATAAAATATGTATATTCTTTTATTAGGAAGTTGCTGCGAATAACCAACCAATGTTTACGCTCTTCATTAAAATTGCAAATTACTGAATTTACGTTTACGTACTTTTCTGGATATTTTTTCTATGGGAGCGAATTCTCACAAATTAAGTTACTAGAGAGTTGTTGGCAAGTTACTGGATAATTTTTACATGAACACAACTAAAGTTTCACTTAATCTAGACTTAATTTATTAACCTAACGTAATATATTTGCCAAACCAATATATTTTTGTTCAGCAATTTTTTGATGTGGCTTATAGGCGGCCAAGTGACCATCAGATGAAAAATAACATACAAAAACCAAATATTTTCCTTTCTGGCTAAGTTGACGTGTTAAGTAATCATTCACGATTTCTTACTAAGTTAAGTTACTACTACACTAGCTAGACTATGTAGTAATATAAACAAAGTACACTTAAACGCATTTGCGTCGCTACCTAGGGACAGGCAGCTGAAATCAAAATTCTTTACCCGGTAGTAAAATGGTCCTTACAATTTCACTTAGCTCTGGCGTGTACAATTCGCAGAATTGAAAGGTCGTTTAGTACACTAAGGGCCGTTTTCACCATCTTTGGTTAACACTAATCTCCAGTTAAACATCGTTACCGGCGTTACCGACACAATGTTGAATGTATGCAGTCAGTAACGTCGGTAACGATGTTTAGCTGGGGATTAGTGTTAACCAGAGTTGGTGAAAACGGCCCTAAGAAGGGTAAAATCTTGGCTGCGCTCCACAATGAGTGAAACTCGACTTAACGGTAATCATCTACATATATATAATTGCTCAGTCATACAACTTAGTTAGGGCGATCTGTACACTGAGGGGAAAAAATTCTAGAATTAAAAAAACGTGCTAAATTAAAAAAAAAACGCATATGAAAGAGTACCAACCCAACTCATTTAAATTTAAGTATATATGTTATAAAATATGTGGTTGTGAAGTGCACAGATGCGTTTTCGTAATTAAGAAGAAAAATAATTAATTTTATGTTCCGTCCGATGGTAATTGAACCCGGACACTCTTGGCCGCAACCAATTGTATCAAGCGTCTTTGCACAATCAGCCACAGCCATTCATGGAAATGTGTTTTCAAATGTTGAGTTTAAATCAATATCACAGCGCGCGATTAGTCCCTGCAAAAAATGGGACTAATCCGGTATGACTCCGGGAGCAATCGCAAAGGAGCATGCGACTATTACCACTTTTGATCTCTTTATATGGAATGAACTGTTCGCTTTTGTTCGAGCATGTCCTATGAAGAGGCTAATTGTTCACCTTTATACCCGAACGGGTATAAAAAGCGACTAGTCAGTTTTAAAAATTAAAAATAAAAATTTGCGCCAACTGAGATTCGAACCGGGGTGCTCAGTTTTGTTAGTCGAATACTCTCTCTGCGAGCCAACGCCGCCAACATGAAATTTCATTGACTAAGTGCGTACATATCATTAAATCATTAATAGTACCCGTTAGAGATGAGTTGGGGACTAATTGATCTCCAATTATACCCATAAGTGATGAGTCGAGACCAATTGATCTCCATTAGTACCCGTATGAGACTAGTGGCGACTAATTAATGCCCAATTGTACCCGATTGAGAGTAATCACGGAATACTCTCTTTAGAGATTAGTCGCACAATTTTTTGCAGGGGTGTATTATGTCATACCATGTATGTGTGTATGTGTGTATGTGTTGTCACCGCTGTGCTTGCTTTGTATACATTAGGGATGTTAATTTTTCGGCCTTTTCCGATCCCGGTATTTTCGGGATGGCGTTACCGTAGATCCAGGAGACCCCCTCTTTCAAAGCTTCCCACTTCTAGGTGCGGGAACTTTCTTGTTTTTAAGATAATGAGTATAAAATTTTTTCTTTACTTGCTTAGTAAACAACACTGTATATTAGACAAATAAACAAACAAAGGCGTAGACATGGGTAGACAGAATTCTCCTTTCTGTGTTGCCGGAGAAGTGGGGCGGTACTTCTTTCTGCGTTTCTGCTGGGGAAACCTGGGAATGCATTGCCTTTTTCCACCAAGAAAAGATTAACAACTACGGTTGAACGAAAAGATGCAACGCAATGTAAGCCAGCGGATGATGTGTAGTTTTGAAGCTACAAACAAAACAAAAAAGTTTGAAAACTTAAGTACGTTTTTTTCACTTTGTCTCAATAGATGCAGTAGCCGAATGGATGCGCGTTCGGCTGCCGTGTTGTTGGTCACGGGTTCAAACCTGTGGCATGGACTTAATTTGTTGTTTTTATTTTTTTGATCCTATTCATAGATTCTATTTATAGTTTCGTAAAGCTACAAGCGCCACGTTACTTTCGTATGACATCGTTGTGGAGAAATTCTTGCAGCTTTTCCTGCGTAGGTTATAGGGGCTCTCTATTACTTTTTATATTCCTAGACATTACTTTTCCACTAGGAACAGAATCTATAAATAGAATAAAAAAAAATAAAATTAAAAAAGAAAGTCCGTGCCACAGGTTTCGAACCCGTGATCAACAACACGGCAGTCGAACACCCATCCATTCGGCTACAGCAGACCGCACTTATGTTAGTTTTCGAACGTTTCGTTTTTTTTGTGGCTTCAAAACTACACATCATCCTCTCGTTTATATTGCGATCAGGGTTACCACTGAAAAACTTTCTTTCCTACCAAGAGCTGGTTAAAAAACCTACCAAAATGGCTTCTTTCCTACCATTTCTTTTAATCAAGAAAACGGCGTTTGACAGCAATAAATACATTTATTATTTTCTGATTCTTATACTTCAAATAAAACCAAATAAACAAACAAAACAAAAAGATCAGAAAAATAGCTATTATAAACATACATATAGCACACAAAAAAAAGTGTGTGACTTATTACTAGACCCAAAAAGTGGCAAAATAATCGCAGTTTATAGTTTTAATAAAGCCTTCGGGGTTAATGACGTGAAAAATCGTAACGGAAAATAAATTTCCGTCATAGATTTTTTGATTGTTGATTTGCATACATATGTACATATATTATGAAGTATGTACATACATATATTATGAAGTATGTACATACATATGTATGTATATATATTGCTACCTAAAGGTGAGAAGGTGCCAAGTCCACTCATTTTATACCTTTCATGACCATCGAGCTGATCGATTTAGCCATGTCCGTCTGTCT